GGCTTAAATATTTAGATTATATAATTTTACTCAAAAGATGAATTATTGCCACAGGCGTGCAAACTCTAAAAAGAAGCTGTCATTATTTTTCCATTCCAATTTGGTTCCAAAGATACTGTGTTGTGTTGATAAATCGTATGGCAATTATTCCTCTAGTAACTCAATTTATCTGGCTTGGCCACATCAGGCAAGGAAGACTAAAAAAAAAAAATAATAAAATAAATCGTATTTTTTATTTATATAAATATTGAAAAAAGGAAAAATTTTCAATAAATAAGAGAGGAATTCAACAATTAGTTAGTTGCAGCTTCTCTCACATTTCTTCTCACAATCCTACTAATTTAGAATTTTAAACAAACCCTGTAGCCCGTATGTGCTATATTTAATCTTTGTCCACAAAACTTACAGGAGCAAAAGCATTTGAATAAAATAAATCGCAATGTCCAGTTATGCTTTTGCATTCAGTCAAAGTTTGAAGACTGAATTTCTAATGGAAAAAATTTATGAAAAAAATTAAAATAAATGATATTTATTAAAATATACTAAAAAAAAGGTTTTTTATCTTTAATTACACTCATATTTAATCTTCTACCATCATTTCACCAAAGAATATTATTTTTTATTAATATTTTCAGTTCACTTTTTTTCTTATGTCAATTATTAATGAACAATATTTATCAAATGTATGCAAATCTTGATTTTACTACTCAATATTTTTTTTTTATCTTCATCAGAACTCAGAAATACACTTTCAAGAGGAGTTTGTGTGGAGGTTAGTTTGTCATTGGGTTGAACGCAGAGTGCGTTTGTCACAAACCCCTTTCAAGGTCTGTGAAGAGCTGGGAAAACGAAGAAGCAGGAGACGGAAGAACTCTTCTCCACTCATTTAATCCTCATCCCACACGCAAGTCTGCTGTAGAAATTTCCTCCAACAATTGTCATCCGTTTCGTGTGGCTTTGGCCAAAAAGAAAAGCTCTCGCCGAAAAGAAATGTTTTGATCACTTTTAATTTCACCACGGGGAAATTTATTTTTTTTTTAGGAAAAACTTTCTCTTGCATGAGCAAAGTTGAGAAGTTTCCAGCACCGACGTTTTAATATAAAAAGCCAGAGTTTTCGGCCCGTTATTAATTACAAGGGCTGGAACCACCTGATGCTCTCTTTTTGCAGCACACTTTGCGGCGAAAACCAGTGGGTTGGTTTTGCTCGCCCTGGCCGGGCGACCAAACACGTTGGCACGTGTTGTGGCGATCTGCATGGGCGCACGTAATTAATCATTTATTAAAACAAAGAGAGGCAGAGATGCAGAAGGCTCTCGGTGGTCGAACCTAATCACAATTGCGACGTCGCACCGACCGCTCAGTAATTATTAATCGCAATTACAGCTCACCAATGTTCGGTGACCTCTGACCTCGCCCTTTTATATTTCCTTGTCTCTCCGCGAAATCGTCTCTGTTATTTGTCAACTCGAAGTTGGGCAACCGTGGGTCGGTTTTATTAACGAAAGGGCGAAAAACTTCGGCCGTTTTCCGCCTACGACGAACAGGAAAATGTGTCAAACTTTGTTCAGTTATATTTTAATTAGTGCACTGGTGATAGCACAAATTATCAAATTAAAGGAAACAAAAAAAATTATAAAATATTTATAATATAAGTTTATTGTATAAAATTTCAAAATTTTTAAAATAAACAATTTAATAAAAAAATTTAAGAATTTATAAAGTTAAGCTTTATTATTAAACTTACAATTAGATAGTTTTTCAAGACATTCACTGCCGTGGAAGTTATTGTGGTCGCGTTTGTTTGAATTTTATATGCCATAAATCCGATAAAAAAAAATGTTATATAATATTTTAACCCTAATTTAAGAATGGGTCAAAGTAAACCTTTAATATTGTTGAAAAAAATTTAAATTCCTAATCAATATCTCGCTTACACGTGTTCTGAGGTGAATTACTCAGTTCAACACAAAGCAGACTGTGATTTGATTGAGAGAGGGCTGGAGAAGGAACAGACAAAACTTTTTGCATCTGTGTCAAAGAATGGTGCGAAAAACGTTGAGCCGGCTGGGGGTGAGGCAAACTATCAACAGCTGCCCTCGGCCGATCGATGGGGGCTCCAAACAAGTGGAAAGGGACCTTTTTCACTCTCTCGAATGCTGCACACGCTCTCGTCCCTCCTCGATGCGTCCCTGTGCTGCTTTTGTGATAAAATGATGGCGCGCCTTGTAGCCATTGGCAATTAATGATCGCCGCCGCTCTCTCCAAAGAGCATGAATAATTGCCCGCTCCTCAACGTGGCCGTGTTAATTTTGCCTTACAAATTTAATTACGCCACTCTACACTCAAAACAAAGCGCCTTTTTGTCCCTGGAATACATTTTTCCTAATGAAAATTATTAGCAAAACAAAAAAAACTTCAAAGACGTTCATACAAAAATTAAAGGGAATCAAACAAAATTGCATGCTGATTTTAATACCTCCTGAAATTAAATCCCTTTACAGAGTATTTCTTTTGCATGAAAATTGTGGTGATAATGAAGTTGATTTACTGCCCATTTCCACCCATGCAGCACGCAGTACTCGTAATTTCCATCTTTTAATCTAGAATTTATGCCATATTTTATTATCTTTTCTTTAAAACTTTGGGAATTTTTTATTTAAAATTTTTGAACGTTTGGATGATGCATCTCGTTAGAGGCTGATATTGTCTTTAGGTACAACAACAAACTTAATTTACAATTAAAATTGTATTGTGGAGATGGAATTTGAATTAGGTCATATTATATATATTCAATCAGCATTATACGCACAACAATCAAGAAATGTACCGTCTTTCGTGAATAAGCTAGAATAATTTTTTATGATCCAAAGATTTAATGGATCTGGATGTCAAAAATATTAAATAATATTAGTTTGGCATGTAACAAAAGTATATTAAACTATGCAATGCAAATGAATGAAAAAAAAATTAAAATTTTTATTGACAATACAAATTATTTATATTAAAATATTTGAAAATAATCATAATACTAATTAATAATTAATGGCAAAAATAAAATTATGTAGAAAAATTAGTAATATGCAATTGTTTTATAATAATTTATTGTTTAACATATTAAAATCACACTTTGTAAACAGAATGAACATTGGAGTGCAGGCATAGAGAGCCAAAAATAGAGATTTATTTTACTGCCTACAGATAATTCCTCCCACGCAGTCAATTCAGTCCAATTCTGAATGGAAGTTGCTAAGTTGACTTCAATAATTACATGAAATTAAATCTGAGCCTCTTGGTTTTTGATGTTAATTTTTGCTAAGGTCGCCTGGTTTAGAACGCTCTGTATAATAGGGAAATAATATAAATAAAACTATTCTGAAACTTTTACCATACATATTTGCCTGGGAGTTATGCAGCCTGCAATTATTCCTTGTGCTGCCAGGAGCAGAACGGATTTTGTTGCTCGTTTTGAAATAATGCCTTGTGAATGTGAATATTCATTTAATTTTTTTATGTAACTTTGATAATGATACTTTAGCTCTTTTTAAGTATTATTTTATTTTGTGAACTCTTCATAATGAATTATATAATCAAGCATATTCATGCTGTTGTATTAAAATTTGACAAAGATCTGGATAATTTTATTTCAATCAAGCAAATTTAAGTTGATTATAGTGGATTTTACTATAATATATTTCATTTTTCGAGGGGATAGCAAGCATACCTTTGTTGTTTTTCAGATATTTTTATCTTTAATTTGTAAAAAAAGAAACGGCCCTCATGAAATTTTCATTGATGAACCCCTAAAAATTATTGCATGCAATGTAAAATCCGGTAAAATCACTCCAAAGTTAAATTATTTTTATAATAATTTAAATAGGTTTTGGGTGTTGAATTTTCTAACCAAGGTGGAATTCATGTTTGCGAAATTTGAGCCTTCTTGAGTTCCCGTGCTCAATTTTTGTGTAGCTCTGAAAGTTTTTCAAACCAGGAAACCGTAAAATATTTCTCCTCCGTTCATAGCCATAAGCAGTGAATATGAATTTATGAATTCCAGCAGAAATGTGTCGCATTGAATTTTATGTTTCCTAAAAATGAAAAGGGACTGAATAATAGAGATGTGCAGCAGCTTTTTGCTAAAAGGACCCTTTGCGGTCTAATCTCCCTTTTCAATCTGACAATTTCAATTAACTCGCTTTTAGCGTGCGGAATATTTTATCGCGGCGGCCAGAGCTAAAAAGCTGCCCCGCTCTCTGTTTAGTGGGAAAAACGACAGCGGAAGCAGTTTCAGGCAAGCGACGCCCGCATTTCAATTCAACCCTTTGATCTCTTCCGCGAACGGCACAGCATAGACGAGGGTTTAATTTGCACTAATTTTGTAATAGACCGCCCATGGCGCCGAAATTCAATTAGCAACTTGCAAATTTATTCTTTTGAACACGCATTAATTTAATTTAAATTTATAGTTTATTCTATTTTGAAGAATATATTGTAGTTTTTCGTCTATGAATGGATAGACATATTGTAAGAGGAGCTCTGAAAAAATAAAAATGTTTTTTTTTTTCAATGTTTGAAAAGTTACATATGAATAGAGCTTTATGGATGATTTTTGGAAAGTTTCTTTTTCGTATATTTTGTATGATGTCTTTTTTCAATCTTTTTTAGTAAAAATACGACATTTTCAGCTGTATCGAACTTTTTAAAACTATCATTTTTTCTAATTGTAAAAATGAATTCTTTATAGGAATTAGCTAGATTTAGATTTGAAATCAACAATAATAAAGCTGAATTTGTATGCTCTCATCAGAGAAACTATTTTATTGTTTTAAACAAAACCTGTTTAATTGCAAATTAAATTGAAATCATTTTGCTCCTCAAATGAACTCATTGTTAAAAATTAGAAGAAATAATTTCACATAAAAGGAACAAAAGTCACGCATTAATTGTAATTTAGTTTTAATTGAATAGTTTATTTTATTAAATCACAAGACAAAGGTTATTTAATAAAAATAGTTTCATCAATTATTGCAGTACATGGTTAATTTTATTGATGCTTTCGTTAAATAAATAAAAACAATAGTCATTCTGCTTAAATCTAATTACCTACTAAACAATTATGCAGCGAAGCTGTTTTATAAAATTTGCAGCTGCTTCATTATTTATTGGCTTGGATCATCACTTACTTAATACACAATAGTTTTACAAAAGCCAGCGACCATTCCTTACATATTCCAGAAATCTACAAAACCCATTCATATAATTAGTTGGAATGACCGTGCATTGACAATTAAAAATCTGTTGTCACTTTCCAGCACCGTTTTCGAGAGTCGGCACTTGAATTTTTCCGCCATGAAATAAAAAATTGAAATGAAAAAGAAGGGCTGGCGCACTGACACGTGTGTCTCACAAAGTCAATCACAGGTTTTGGCACACTCAAGAGCACACGTGGCACCTCATGAGGCCAGACTCGTCGCAAGTCATGCACTTGAGCGCCACAAACTCGGCGGTGAAGTGGTTGCGGTGCACCGATTTCTTGCTGCCGTTGCACATCCCGCACGGCAGAAGCCGGTAGCCGCCGCACGCACTGCAAGGTGTACTCACGCCCATGCACTGTGAACAACAAATTATAAATTTTAATTTTAATTTCATACATTTCAATTATAACTTTGCTATGTTTAATGATGAAAAATCAAGCTAAAACGAAAATATTGGATAAATAGGCTAACTGGAAGGACACAGATGGTAAGTGGGACATTTTTAATGAATTGAGATCCTGTAAAAAAATTGTAGAAAAAACATAGCACTACATAGTTTATATTAGAAAAATTCTTAAATTTAAATAAATATTTTATGAAAGGTATTTTTTTTATAATACGAAAATAAAATTATAATTCTATAATGAAAATGAATAGATCGGGCTTTTACAACGAGGAAAGAAATCTCTTCTCCTCCATCTTCGAGTGTCAATATCTTCAAACAAATTGAAGTTTATATGCCCAAAAACTATTAGTAAGACACATAATTTTTGAGTCTTCTAATAAATTCAAAATTTTGTTTAAGTTTAATGAGCTTAATAAAAAGTGATATTTTCTTATATGTATATACACACCGTAATAAAAACCATTACTTAATTACACATTAATGTGGGACTCATCAAGGGGTTAAGATTAATTTATATTTATTTAAATAAACTATTAACATAATTCAAACCATTATATCATAAAAATTTAAAAATGGGGATAACTGGCTGAAAATATGAACAATTTGTAATTTTATTATAAATCATAATTTAAATAAATAGATTATTATTTATATTAGAACTTTTAAAATATAACATGTTGTTATGTTGCTATGCTAGTTGAAATTAAAGTATTGTTTTGTAAATATCTATTGAAAATAATAATAGAAAATATTGGAAATATTCAGTTGGAATACTTAAAATAATAGAGAATTCTTGAATGATAAGAAAAAAGATATTGTTGCAATAAATTATTTTACTCATGATAACGATTTTGTGAAATTTGCATCTGCGCGTTTGATAAGAAAGTCAGTCGTGCCTAAGCTTCGAATTGACATTTTCGTCTTTCAAGGGCAGCAATTAACATTTTATAACGATGGGATAAAGTCGTGTCCGCGGTTCTGCTCGCGGGAGCATCTGCAGAATCTGCAAGCAAAGCGTTGGTCGTGAGAGATGCAACCCAAGAGCTGCGTTTCACAACACCCGCCATGCACAAGCAGCATAATGTGCGGTTGGTCGGGTTGCGAAGTCGCGCCTGTGAGAAGATTCGCGGCGAAGATGCGCCTCTAACCAACATTACTTAACTACTTGCAACAAAAATTTTCTTTTAGGTTTATAAAGCCAGCAGTCAAAACGAGTTGTTTTTCAAACAGACAATTTTCATGGAATTCTTGTGACAACAAATTTTAGTTGGACAAATTGGTTATATAAAAAATATCGCAAATTGCTAACTCTCTTTGCGAGTTTTTTCTATCAGATATGTCATTTCAGTCATCTTATGCAAAAACGACAGACACATATTAAAATTTTAATTCAAAACTCATAAGAGGCGCATCAATGTATATAAAAAAAAATCAGTGAAACAAATTGTAAAATCAATGTCTAATAATGCGGATAAGTTGTAGGAGTGAAAATTAAAGATCCGCGGGTGAAGAAAACGTTTTATTATTTCCATTTATGAAGAAAAAATCAAGCGAAAAAAATCAAATTTCGACCAGTAATGACATAGAAAAATATAACGTTTAGAGAAAAATTTAGATGCATGCAAAAGTTTGTGTTTGAATTAAGTAAAAAGTGATGATTGTTATGAAGTTTTCATTTAATTTTATCCCCATGCCCTTTTCTAGAGCAATATTTAGTAAAAAATCAAATCAGAATTTGACAAACTTTTTATCAGATTCGAGAATTTTAATTAATAGATCTCTAAACTTCTCTTTATGGCAAATAATGCAGTTTGTTTGATAAATAATAAATAATGACACAGCACATGGTAAAAATTAATGAAACTTTTCTCTTATCCACAGCAATATTCTTTCCCCAGAGAAAATAAAAACCATTTTCAATTGTCTTTTTTACACCGCGTCCTCATTTTTACATTTTCCACGCTGAAAAGCAAACATATTGGCTTGGAAATGTGATGTCGTTGCGAAAGGCTGCTAATTGGCCTGGCTTACACAGTCAAAGGCGTCGGAATTCGCCATTAATTAGGCGACGTTGAATATCGATCGCGAATTGTTAGTTTTCGTTATCAAACCGCAGGCTGATAACCGTCGCGTGCGGCTCGAGTAGTTTTCAGACATTAAAAAAAAGAAAGAAGAAAAAAACGGGAGCGAATTTTGTTCGCGACTTTTCAAGCAAGACGCCGAGGCGCGCACAATTATGCAGTGGAGAAATAAAACCGAAATCGCTTCTCTCTGAGCGAGTGGGTCGATGACCCTTGCGAGAGAGGAACCAGTATGACCACCTTGCTGGCCAATCGTCGGTGAAGAGATGCTCCAGATTAATAACAACTCTTACAAAGCTTTCTACATAAACGCACTTTTATTCCTCTCAAGCACGCGAAAATATTTTAAATCTTGTGAAAAAAATTAGGATGATTGTTAGATTATTTTCATAAAAGGGAAAGGAGTCTGGTCGTTTCTTTCTTTCATTGAACCGAAAGAAAATGAAGCTGCGTGACACGGAATAAATCACTGAGAAATTTTCACCCCTTCATGAATTTTTCATGTAAATTTTTGGAAGAGCAAACATCATTAAAAGTAGTTAGAATTTCAAATTTATGGATACAATGTTTGATTGCTGAAATCGATCCCTATGTAGTGTCGCAATCCAGGTCAAGCTAATGAAACGGCACATTATGCAGGAGTAATTGAATGTTAATGAGTTGGTTTCAGAACGTTTGCAATCGGCTGGATATGATTTTTGAAATTGTAATTATTGTAAAATAATGGTAATAAGGATGAATAATAACGAAAATTTTAAGTTCTTCAAGCTTGCTAATGAAAAATGAGCTTCTTAGTTTTATTTCATTTTTTCGTTTTGAAGCCCTGATTAATCTTCAATTATTCATTAAATTCCCAGTAAACTATTCCCAAGAGCAATTTTTTACCTTTTTTTTTGTAATTCTGTTGTACAAAAATGGAATATTTTTTATAAAGAATTATATAATAGAACGATATTGATTGAATGTAGAAAGAATTACATAATTATAAATTACGCACCAAATACTTAATTGGTAAATTGTACAAATTTATAAAATATCAAAGTCAAATAATTAATTTTTCACATATAATTTATTAAATACGATATTTTGTTTTTAACATGAGTACATTGTTATTTATGGTCAATTATCAATTATCAATCCCCATGTCCCATGTTATATTAGCCTCCAAAACAGCACAAAACAGCAAATGGCAAAATGCAAGGTTTCTTATTTAAACATTAATAATGTATTACAGCGACGCCAATAAATATAATATAAATATATAATTAAAAACATTTTTTACAATAATATTTTTTATATATGAAATTAAAAAAAAGGGATATCAATGAACAACAATGTATTTTTAAAAATTATTACAAAATGATTATATATTCTACATTATAAATGACACAAAATTTACTGTAAATTGCTAATATTGATAAAAAAAAATTAATTTTAAATGTTTATATTTAAAAAACTTATGTTATTAAATATTTATTGTGATTGATTACATAGGCTTAAAGGAGTGGTTGTTTTGGTTTGAAATTCTGTGGCACAACATCCTCAATTCTTATTATTTAAATCACCAAAATTATAATCATTTTTATTTCTAGTTCGAGTTTGAAATGCTTGAACATATTTAAAACATCTTTTACGTTCTTATTTGTTTTGGTTGTGTATTAAACAATAAAAAATTAAAAAAAAAATTATTTATTGCACTCATATTGATACCTAAACCATTCAGCGATGACGCAATGCGGATCAATTTATTGTGTTTCGGAAATCCGCACTATTAACTATTAGATTGATTGCATATTCGTGCTTGATTTGGGATCGCGATGTGTCAAGAAAAGCTGCTTACATTCGCGTTGTTTGTCTTTGAGCCTAGCGCAAAGTCAATCAGATTAAGCGCGGGGGATAATCTGCTCAGTGCATCTGAAAACACCTGCGGCGGGCTCGGCATCGCAGCGCGGGCCTTTGATCGAATTTGGCGGCGTGGCCGAAAAGCTCTTCAGAAGTAGCTGGGGTGAATGAAACCATGGCAACAACCGAGCACAGATTTGATTTCCTAGCTGTCTGTCAAGGATAGAGAAATCGCTGCCGCAACAAATATCAATGCGTGCGGCATATATTTTGCTTCAATTTTTGCATTAAAAATAATCAATTAAAATTGGAAATAAATAAAGTTTTCGACTACATTATTTGAACTAAAGTGTATATTTTAGCGTGGCTTCAGTTCATATTAATCAAATAATTTTTAATAAATATGAACTGATGCATTAAGGAAAAAATAGGTGATTTCAAGTGAAGAAGTTAAAAATTGAGATATTTTTTATATTATTTAAATAAAACCGATCGTGATTTAGGTAAAAATGTAAATCCATGCAAATCCTGGTAGTAAAATTTGACTTTTAAATTTGTGAGGTAAACAATAATTAACAAAATTTCAAGAGTTATTTTCTAATAAAAATAAAGCATTGTAATTTTCAATCTTTCCTATTAAAAAAAAATGATTATCAATTTTGAATCAAATTTCAGTAATATAGGTTGTTTATTTATTATTCAAGAAGCAATCAAAGTTTTCGTCAAATTTGCTGCCACGGTTGTTTACCTTCCCAAGTTCTTCCTTTCATCGTTGTTTGCCAAAAGAAAATGTTTCCATCTTAACAAGGGAATTCGGCAAAACAACTCTCAAGCCCATCTCTCTCTCTCTCTCTTGCGATTACAATAACAGGTTGTACATTTTCTGCAGAGTTGCTCATCAGCCTTTTGTTCCTCTAATGGCGAACGCGCAAGACGTTCCTTGTGCAAAATATCTCCCTGTGCTTTTGCTTTTAGTTTCTTTCTTCTAAGCAAGACGAGAAAAAGCTTTTCCAAGAAACCAAACTTTGCCAGAAAAAGGAAAAAAAGTTCGGCCAAATGATATTAACCCGCAAATGACAAAACATCACTTAATTTTATTCCGCAAAACTTTCAAAATTCACAATTTTTCCAGGAAACCTTTCCCTATTTTTTAAGACTTCAAAAGCAGGTCGCCTCCGAAAAACGTGCGCGCAACAAAAGCAGACAATAATAATACTTACTTTGAACGGTCGAAGAAGCTTCCTCAGTTCGCCGGACTCGTTGAGCCTCTCAATGGTGTCCACGTCCTGCACAAACACAAAGAAATTAATCAGAATCGGAGCGTGTAGCTCTGACTGAGTGGAAATCTGATATAGAGCAAAAAAGAAAGACAAATAAATCCCTTTTTGTACGGATTTGATGGGAGAGGAAGAAAAAATTAATTTCGCTTCCTACTCATTTGTGAAATCGAAAACTCTGTCGCCGAATTTATATAATATGATGTTTATTCGGCCCCATCGTTGAAACAGAGAGAACTTCTGTAATTGACATTTGATACACGCGCTGCGCGAAATTGTTTTGCTCTTTACCGCATTTCCAGCAATATATTTCCGTCTCGAGTTTTCATACTGTCAGATCCAGTTCCCCGCTAGGTAAACAAAATTGATCAAAAGTGTGCGTCTCACTTTTCATTTAGTTGCCGCCGCCGCGTTCGTTATTGATTTTGCGACTCACTCAAGTGTACGTGTGTCAAACCGTGCGCGCTGGCAAACAAACTGGCAAGAGCAAAAGACAAACACTCGATTTAAGAATAAAGGTCGTATCTTGACCACGAACGGTTTTAATTAGAGATCTCGTCTCATTTCTGAGAGGCTTTTCAAATAAAAAATTAAGAAATTTAATATTGGTTTTTAGATGAGATTTTCAAAAAGGAAAATTGAATTCATTAAGAGAGCTGAATTATTAAATATTAAGAGGGAATTTTAAAATAAGTTTTATTTTCAAAATTGGCACAGCCAAAATAGACAGAAAATTCACTAAATCACTTTTAGATCACTCGTATCTTGTGGGAAACGGTTCAATAAACAGTTTTCTCTCACATCACCTCCTACATATTTGCAATTTTATTGAAATTTCTGTTTGCATCAACGCTATTTAATATTAACTATTTTCAAGCTTATATTTTGAGATATTTTAAACTTCTATTTTCATTACAAAATTAAATAAGTCCAAACTTTATTCCTAAAATTTTTATATCTTTTGAAATGATAATAAATCAACTATTCTGTATGGTTCCTTCAGACTCATTTTACTGTGATAAGATTTTTTTAAAGAATGATTTTAAATGAAAGAAAAAAGTTTTAAAATGCTGTAGCTTCTTTGAAATGGACGCAACTAATTAAAGTGACCATAAAATTTGAAATTGGTTTGATCGAAAATCACGTCCAGATGCGAGTTAATTAAATGTTCAGTAAAATAAAATAAATGAAATTACCCCTATGTGGTGTCCGTCGAGGAAAACTTGCGGTATGACGACGTTGTTGGTCTTCATCCTCTGCTTGATTTCCTGCTGCGTGTCCCTGCTCATGAAAACGTCGCGCTCCTCGAACTTGACGAGGAGAGTCCGCAGAATCTGCTTGACTTTGACGCACCTGAGGTAGGTCGACCTCACCACGCCCATGGTCGTCGTGTAGACCACCAGCTTGCCCTGCTCCTTGTCTTTGAAGCCCTGCGAACAAAAAATTAATTTCCAAAAGTTAAAAATACAGTAAAAGGCACTTTGGTGTGATTTTCAAGTTGGATGTGTCGGCCGAGAGGCCGAAAACTTTAGCGGATGATGAATAAAATTTGCACAATTTAACAAGGCTGAAATCTTGGTGCGCGCGATTTGCATAGGAGACGCTGCTGAAATATCAGACTGCCTCGTAAATTTCTACTTTATGGCCGTTTTATACATGCAGCAGGTACATAATGTAGAAGAAGAAGAAGAAGTTGCAGGCCATTTCTTTTTTCTTTTTGCGGATCTGATAAATAAAGCAGCGCACGAGAGAGAGTTACATAATACGCGCCTTTTAACTGCTCGCCACCTGATCTCGGGCTGAGATTAAATGCTCGGGTAGCGCAATTTTACCAGCTGGATTATTTATTGCTGAATTTCAGTGCAAAAATTGTCCTATAGTTTGCGTGATGAGTCGCGAGGTACAAATAAACGCAAATCAATATAATATAATTATTCTTCATCTATATAAACATAATGCTTTTTAAAGCAAGAGTAAGTTTTACATTTTCGAAAATATAAGTTTATCTAAAATTATTTCCAATCAAAGTCGTTAAAAAAGATTCAGATCTGAAAATAACTCAGTTCCTTCAAGGAATTGTTCAAATCAGTTCTAGAAAAAAAATTCAAAACTGGAATATGTTAAAAGAAAATTATTATAATTTTAGATATTGTTCATTTCAATGAGTTATATTCTGGTAAAATTATGATGATCATTTTTTGTGCTTTTTGGTGCTTTTTGGATTGTCTGTTTGTTTTTGTGTAAATTATTAGGGTAGAGAAGTGTCGGGAATAGTATCCCATATTGGTGTTTGTTAAAGCGTATTTTTTCAAGGCTCAGGTTATAAATAAACATACATAATTATTTTAAATTATTAAGCAACATAAATTTAAAATAAGTGTAAATAAAAAATTACACGTTTATAACATTTTAATACACAAACTTTTATTTGTAATATTATTATGTTAACAGAAATATGTTATTAAGATATGTTTACCTTAAATCATTATAAATTAAACAATCGAGACACTTCAATTATCTGCTATCTGCAATGTAAAAATGAACTATTGATAACTGCACCAATTCTGATTTTCATGTATTATAATAGTGCTATTAATTGCTATTAATGTATTAATCGAAATAATACATAGTTTAGTCCAAAAACTTCCCTTTCTTTCAAACTAATTGTTTTTGAATAAAAACAATGTGATTGCAAATTGTGGTCAAATAATAATAAATCTTCCCATAAACATTTTATTAAAATTTCAATCAACGTATAATCATCAAAAATAAAAAATGTATAAAAATTAATTTTAGTTGAAGTACGACGACAATCATAGTTTTAAAACGCTAATTGACGCTTACAATTAGTTTGTTATTGCTTAATATCTGCTGCGCCAAATTTGTTCACAATTTGTGCCATTTCTGCGATTTGCATGAAACGCCTGAAAAGAAGCGTGCCTACATTTGTTACGGGGCGCACGCTCAAATGTTCGACTTCCTGTTCTCAATAATTAAACAATTTGCATATTACTCAACGCACGGTGCAGTGTCGTGCGAGAGCATTTGACACCGTTCGCTGCATTTTGGAATTTTACACATCGTTTGTTGGTGCTGATGCGGCGTCGGCGGCGGCGGCGGAGCCATTGTAAAGTTAATTCGCGCCTAATCTGGCTGCAATCTCAGCGCAAAAGCAGCTTGCGTCATTTGCATTTCTTAATTATTTGTTGGTTCTGCCAAACACCGCTTGCTGATCCGTTATAGCTACGCTCGTGTGGGGGCCACTAATTAATTATTCTTCGATGGCCGAGATAACATTAAAATAGCGCCTCGATCGCTAATAACAATAAACTGTCGGCTCATAATTAATTTGATCAGACATGTTGAAATACCTGACACATTTAAAAAAATTTCTAATTTAACTTGTTGAAACTTAAATTAAAAATAATATCGTTGAGCAAAAGAAAAACCTTCTTATGTATATTTACTTATGATATAAAATTTTTTGCTGTACTTGTGGATTTTATTTGCATCTTTTTATCATAATAAGCAAGCGGAGAGATGCATATCCTGGTAATATTTATTACATCATTTCAATAAACATACAAATATCATGATTTTAAGCTAAATATTGGATAAATATAATACTTTTGAACTTTTGCTTTGCTATGAACCAATTTTTAGTTGTAAAGAGTTTTTATTTTTACCCTATATTTTGTGAAAAAGCAAAAATATTTTATAAGAACAATTAAGTCAAAATAAATCCTACGCTCTGCAGGACTTCTTACAAATTTTTGCTTTCAAGATTAATTATATATTCCATTCCATTTTGAAATTAACCTACTTTTTTATTGTTAGGCAAAATCTACATTCATTCAGTTTACCCGTTACATTATTAACTGGACGCGACAGTTATCAGGATAATTGCTTCTATATTATTATCTGGTGTATAGTTATGGAAGGTGCGATATGTGCAGCCATGACCAAAGAAACGTAGCAAGAGCAACCGACAATCAACCATTTAAATTACACACAGACTGGCAGAAGGTCAATTTTATTGCCGCGCTACATCAAATTACTCTGGCCTGGCGCAAGGTTAATTATGGAAGAGGTCTATATATAATTGCGGCGAATTACTGTTGGCCGAGGTGCCGCCGCACGTAATCTGCTTTCAAAAATATTTACAGTTTTTCGGCGCAATCGTAAATTCGAGCGTGAGAGAGAAGTTCGCTGCTTATTTTGACAGTCACGTCTGTTTTTTTTCCGCAGGAGAAATTGCGTTGCTTGTTTTGCGTTGGAGATTTTGGACGGCGTCCACGAGAGACGAGGGAAAGTGACAGTTTTTATTAGAAAGATTATATTATTATTTCACCGGCCATAGGCGAATCTAATCCTTCTTTCTCCGCTCAAAATATTATTAGATCACGCGCGAGAGACAAAACTCCTTTTACTTTTTCTCACACACTGCGCGTTGGGTCGCGCCCAATGCGGCCAAGTGAATGTGCACTTGGCTGCATTTTTAAGCTGACCTTGCTGCCAACAAGAATTTTCGCTTTTTTTTTATCTCATCACACGCACGACATGAAAATGCGCGAGCTTGCTTTTTATAGGCTGACGAGTTTTGTAAAATACAAATTATTTTCCTTTTCTCCTCCAGTTGAAATTGATTTTTAGGATAATTTGAGAAATAAATTACAAAAATTCCATTTGCAGCTAAAAGGACTTGAATGTTAAAAATTGAAAACTGCTTCTTTTAACTATAAATTAGCGAATCAAATATAAAAAATTCTTCAGTCCATTCTCAATTTAAATTTGAATCATTCAATTAGAATGAATAAATAAATAAATACTAATATTTTTTTATATAATGTTGACATTTTGAATTTTGCTGCTGTAAATTATGGTCTTTCTAAAATAAAATTATAAAACTTAACCTTTTCTTGCCACTTCTTAATTATTTTCAGTGGTTGGGCGATCAATATTTGTGTAATATTATTACTTTCTTTTAATTTTTAACGCATGGGTGAATTTATAATCAGCCAGGGAAAACAAGTTTTTCGCATCGACGGACAAATATTTAAGGATGGTCATACCAATTTAATATTCCCTGAAGCATCTAACCATCTAAACTGTTCCCGGCACAACTCTCTGCTCACATCAATTAAATCTGCAAAAATAAACTGTCCGTTGCTGCTGAATTATTAAAAAGCGGACAAGTAATGTCGCCCGCCGATCTCCAGCTGCGCATAACAATTAGAAACTTGATTCGTTGGATTTTTTTCAAGCGCTCGGGCCGGCCGAAAATTTAATTAAAAAAAGCAGGCGGTCGGATTTTCGCAGAAATCTGCGTGCGCGAAATGAAAAGTAGCAAAAGTGGATTTTGCTTAGTTGGGAAGTGAGTAATTAATAAACGCCAAGTACGGCAGAAGGTATTAAAAATTAAAATTTGCGTCACACGCCCTGTTAATTTGCAGTCACTGACCTTGCTCCGGTTCAAACTCTGACCCTGCCGGTAGAGTAAATTAAAGACAAGAAATGTGAGAGTTATATTGAAATAATTTGATGAAATGCCTTTTCAGTGGGTTGAATGCGTTTCTCCATCTCTCTTTATTTGGTTTTCAAAAATGGTAAAGACGCGAACATAAAAATTCTTATTGGGAAATAAAGAAATCTTTCTATCTTATTTTTATATATGTGTATATCTTCAAAGGAATATTCATAATTGAGAAGAGAAAGGAAGCCTCTCTTTGACTTTTGCGATATAAAGAAATAAAATCAGCAAACCTGGACCGAAAACCAGTCATGCACGTCTAATAATTCATTTCTTTCTCCTAATCCACCCTTGAGCACAACAGCAGGCGCTCACATTTTCCACCATGTTTGCTCCAAATCTTTTTTATTAAAGAGAATTTTCACTAAAGATTTTTGCTCGTCTCAATATCTCGCAGCATCTGTCGTCTGCAAGGGAAGGAGTTGAGCATCAGTCAGAGCGATGACGGCGCATTTAAAGTGGAGCACGAGAGCTATGGTTTTGTGAAACAAGCGACGGACGGACGGATGCAGCAAAAGAGAAAATGCGGAAAGCTCTCCGCTCTCGTAACTTTTCTCTCTTCTGTCGCGTTTGTATCCACAAATGTATGTGTCTCGCTCGCTCGGTGCTGTATGTATTCCTGGTTAATTAGCGCGCGATGTGATAGTTTTTGCCGAGAATCCGCTAGAAAAATCACCTTACTTCCGTTTTGTTGAGAGGAAATTCCAATGGGAATTCAGTCAATTCACACCAAACTGATAGTCGATCGCTTTCAACTTCTATGATCAATTCTCAGATAATTGTTAGTCAGGACTACTGATGAGCCCTGGAATTGGGCGAAATCGTGATTCAGACCAGTTATGTTACTCTGTTTGCCCTAATTTTCCGAGTTTTCATTGAATTTTTTATTTTTTTTATGAC